TTTTTTGAATCAAAAAATAGGTTAATCCAAAAAATATATACACAATTGTGCAAACTCAGCAAGACTGAAATGCAAAAAAATGGAAAACTCGTCCAGTTTCTTACCTTAGATGTGATATCTTCAAAACATGCCACTTGTCTGAGTATAGCCGTTTTACCGACACGTTTGCCACCTACAACAACCACTCGCATCGCACGGCCCATACAAAGCGGAACTGAAACACGATCAATACCTATACTTTGTTCGGTGACTACAAAGATATCACAATGATGTGACAAAGCCCCTCTCTTTGAGACATGGCTTTTATGAAAACAATTCAAAAAGTAGGGTGACGTAGGAACACAAGTTCTAGATAAAATCAAAGCAAACATGGAAGAAAAGCGATGAAACCCAAAGAAAAAAAAATAATCGATTCAAAAATTAAGTAGATCACTTTAAGAAATAAATTGAAACTAACCAGCTTTAGGCGGATTTCCAACACGTGTTAATTGCTCATGTGAGGATACACTCACGCAACGTTGTTGTTTTGATGTATCGGCTAGTAAATAGTCGGACTCTAAAAAAAGGGAGCTATAAATTCACATATACATCACAGTAATATCTAAGTACTTTGTTTTTTGAAAATCCCATTAACTCAATCCATTATGCAGGGCAGCGTAGTCTTATGTATTACATATCGAAACAACATTATATTATTCCAATTTAAATGCCGGCTTATTAATAGAATTTTTTGAAAAAAAAATCAATGTAATTTTTATTATCTTTTATCCACACTAAAACATTTTATTCTCCCTTCCCTCCAATCTATCTTGAAACTTACAAAAACTGACGGGAGATTTAGGATTTTTATTGATGTAGAAAAATTTTCCTCATGAAGAGATTAGAGTTACGTTGTCACAATTTCCTCCATTTCCTCTTCCCTCTCTCTCTTCTTTTTTTACCCTTTTTGAAATATAATTCATCTCAATAGCGTTTGCTCATTTATGGGAATCCTCCGGGAAGATTTTTATACGCAATTAGTGCGTTTTACAACATGCAACAATTATAGTTGCAACAGCCATAAACATAGGGTGAACACACATCCTATTGTTAGTTTCATCCCAATCCAGAAAAATTTCTACTGAACCATCAAATAATTCCGTGCGGCTGAAACTTAAAGACATCCAAAATATTAAAAGTCATGTCCCTATTTCTGCATATTATAAAGAATGAATCTTTCGCTACA